TCCTCTGCTGTGGGCCATTGTGTGTATGCATGTACACCTTAGTAGCTCCTGAACCTGTTGGCCAACCTCAAGAGCTCTGCCTTCTTGCTGTTGTGGAGAGGAGCAATTTCGTGACTGTCTTGAGAATCAGTAAGCAGCTGGAGGAGAGAAGTCCTGAAGCATGAGTCAACTGTAGGACTTGCACCTGGGGGAAACAAAGCTGCTTTGGTTTGCGGCTTCTGGAAGTGCTTGATCTAACTTTAGCCCTTCTCAGGGAAGAACTGTACTCCAGATGCCAGGAAAGGCAATTAAAGAGGACTCTGAAATAATTGCTTTGAACTCTTCAGAAATTGCAAGCAGCATCTTCTAAGAAGGTCAAGTGAACAATAGTGACTTCAGCCCAGATCACTGAAGGATCACTCTTTGCACCTACTAGTAGGAGATGCTGAGGCCAGATGTATGCCTAAGCAGTTACTCTTTTTTGCAGTCCAGTTCCAGTTATGCAGGGTCTGAAGGCCAGAATCACCTACCTGTTTCTGATGTGATTATATAGAAATTGAACTTTTGCCTGGCACTGTTTCTGCCAAGGGTTCTTGCATGGAATTTTGCTCTATTTCAGCATATCCCTTGATTCCCAGGGTAGTTTTCTTTCCACCAGGCCCCATTCTAGAGGCTGGGAAGCATTCTTGACCCTTCCCAGTTGCTTTTGTGTTGCACTGTGTAAAAGTGTATTGATAAGGCTCCCTGATCTCCAAGAGATGCTTTTGGTCGTGCACAGAGAAGTCATTCTTACATGGAGAGGGGTCCTTTAGACAAAACCAGAAGGCACTTGGGGTTGCCAGCAGTTCTGAGGAATCAGCTGGGTACTTTACAGATCACCAAAAAATGACTCAGCACTTTTTGCTGCTGTGACCTGTGTTGGAGCCAAGCTCGCTTGCTCCCCACTGCGTTCCAGCAGCAGAGTGGGAAGTCAGTGACTTGATGCTGGTAAAGATTTTCTCATGGTGCAAGTCAGCCTAAGAGATGGTCTCTGCTTTTTTTCATCACCTAGAGGTGGTAATGAGAAAGCAAAAACAGAAACGAGTCTTGAAGTGATTCAAAGCCCATTTTCACTGGACTTTATCTTGCATCCTCCCACTTGTGCCAAGCGGGACAGAGCTGGGGTGAGTTTATTTTCCATCCCTCTCATTGTTGCAATACCTTCTCGGAGTCTCCTACTTAAAGCTGGAGAGGTCCTAAAGAAAAAGAAATTCTAAAGCGGTGACCACCTGCCTTTGCCCCATATATAGCTTTGGTATCCGAGTTACTCTGTTTTATCTGTGGTACCGTCTGTTTGTATCCAGTTCTGTTTTCTGTCCATACTCACCAGCACCATCGTATCTCCCAGTCTGTGTAGCAGTCTGGAAGCACAGATGTACACACAGCCCAGGAGTTGTCAACATCTCCTGTTTTTTAACGGGGATATCTAGGATAAAGTCTTAGGGTAGATGAGCTTCCTTGACCAGCGAGAGCAGGAGATGAGAAGAACGTTTCCTCGTGCTGCAACTTTGCATAGAAGGATCTGTGTGTCTTTCTCTGGGTCAGTTTCAGTTCCAGAGCCAGGGTGGAGAGTGTCCTACCTACCTCTCTCCAGCCAGGAGGAAGGGGATTTTAAGGGTTGTAAGTGCCATGTCAGCAGTCTGGCTAGCAGACCCAGAAGAGAAGCTCTGCACCAGGCTGGCTCGCTCTCCAGCACAAAGCGGTTGGTTCCCCATTCCTCAGGGACTTAGTGGCTTCAGTGTGAGCAGTGAGGGTTCAGCCTCTCTGTCTCTGCAGTGTGCAGCCCTGACGCTTTGTGGTATAGACCATGGTCACAGCTGGGCATTTTCACCAAGTGAAACACCATGGTGAAAACTTGGTGTTTCATTGGAGGTGAAGGCACCGAAATTGCCATCTCCTGGGAAGGCCACAACACCCTCCGGTGGTGCCCCAAGCCCTGCTTCTTCCTGTTTATAACAATGCAGTCCTTGTTTTGCTAATCTGAAGCATATACCTAACATAAGCATGTACACCTCCACATCAGATCCACCTCAAGCTAAAAGAGCTTCACATTTCTTTTGCAAAACCTGAGGTCTCAATATCCTAAACTTACCTTTCAGATACAACTGCAGGATCTGCATAATTGAAGCTTTTGCTCTAATCTCATTACCTCCCTAGGGCAGTTCCTGACAAATGGAGATTATAAGAGAAGGTCTGTAGTAAACATAACTAAAAAGGCATCTTTAATGTTTTTGCAATGTATTCAAAGCAGCTTGGGTGCTGAGCGCAGAAAACTCATTTCCCTTTTACCTGAAATGCCATTATGTTTATTAAATTAAGAGTGGCATTGATCCAAGAACATATCCAAATTTTTTGTGATTTTGCATTTGTCATAACTGAAATATCCCACTTAATATTTCTCTATACCTGTAAATAATATTTTCCATCACAGAATACTTGTCTCAGATTTTCCTCAGTGACTTTGTATCAGATCTGAAAAAGAGCTATCACAGAAAATAAAATGGGACTAAAATAACAGTCCTTTGTATTAAATTTAACATTTGGCTTCTGTCCCAGAATTTTCCATGTCCATATTAGAATCAGATGGTAGCATAAGATGAAAAGATTTCCTGGATGGGTTTTATTCTTATTCTTATTAAAGGGCTGATAACAGGCTGAAGGCAAGATACTTGTTGCAGCAAAAAATCTGCCTAATATCAAAGGCTGGATGGACAAGCTGACATGTATTATAGTTAGGCCTCCCTGCTTGATCCTGTTTCAGTATCATAAAATCATTCTGCTAGTGAACATGAAGTATAAAAATTCTAGCGTGAGAACAAAAAGCCCGGGCTGGCAGGTAGCGCTCCTTTGTGCACACTGCCTTATGGTTAATAGCTGACCATAAGCCAAGTCAATGGTTTAATATCAAAAAACAGTGCTGGTGACAGCACAGTGTAGCTATATTTAAAATTTTAGTTATTCTCAAATGTTTGCATTCATGAAAGGCAGTCCCTTGTCCTGTTGCCTGTGCAGCTGGTAACACGTGTGATGTGACAGCACAGGGCCGCCCCACCGGTACTGCTCAGCCTTCTTCAGGAGCATCCTCTGCTCTGTCCCCCAACCAGCCACTTGCCCCAGGTTTTTTTGGCAATCTGGAGATAGAAAGATCAAAGGGACCTAAATAGTCTTCAGAAAGCAATTTTCCCTTTACTCAAAGCAGCTTTGTATAGTACTTATGTATGATTGGGCTTAAATTGTACAACTATTTGCAGGCTGTGGATATTCTATGCAAAACCAATTATTTTTGATAAAATGAAGGAGCGGTGCTTTCTAGTGTTGCTGTTCTGCTGTAGTGGAGGCTGAGAGTATGATATTGGAGCTATAAATTAGATTTTGCAAAGCGGCTCTTCTGTAGGGTGTCTGCCTCTTCAGATTGACAGGCTATAATCAGCTTTTTCTTGGGGATATTTTTGATGTTTTGAGGCAGTATCTTCAGAAACAAAAGTAGAGCAGCAATTGCAGGCTGCGCTGACCCTTCATTTCAGCTTGCAAAGGGTATTGAAGAGCAAATGTACTTTATAGATATCTTATGCTGCTTTTCTAAATACACCTTTTTAAAGTAACTGCTATGTGGTTTGCATTTACAGGTGGTAAGATAATTGTTTCACCATCACTGAGTGTTTACAGCATCAACGTCAACAACCGAGCTTATAACCAGGGCTCCTTTTATAATCAATAGGAGGAAATGTACATGTTTAGAGGAGTGATTCGCACGCTTATTTTAGACATCTTTCTGGTGAGATGGATTGTATTCTAGAAGTGCTTATTTCTCTCCTTGGTGATAATTAATCCTAGTGTAATTAGACTACCTGTACCATACAGCATGTTTCTGAATAGTACTGTGTTCTCACTCTGCTGTTAATACTGCTTGTATTAATGCTTTGTTTTTTTTAAACATAATGATCAGATTGCCACAGGGAATACACAAAGAGATCACTTGCGTTTGTAAGAAATAACTTGGTGCAGTCCCCAGGAGGTTTTTGTCACTGTTAATTACAGCTACCTTAATGCTTCCTGTGAAAGCTGTTTCAGTAGTTATATTGATCCTGTCCTCCATGACTCAGATGCTAGCTTGATGCTGAACGCCTTCTCAGATAAACTGTTGGGGGCATGTTGGGTGCTCGGATGATACTAAGGGACATAGGGCAGAAATCTCTGAGAGAACACGGGACTGTCCTGAAAACAACCTCAAGGAGGCCAGATGAATGGAGCTGTAGCACAAAAATGCCTGTTTTCAGGAATGTTGCTATAAATGGAACGAAGCATAATTTGTACTGGGAACAACGTTGATGCCCATTTGGGTTCACCTGAATCATGCTGATGGGTTTATTCAATAGAAGAAAAGACCTGGAGCTGGTCTCCTCAAGATGAGTTTGCCGTATATAACAGCTCACACAGGGCAAGTAGCATCTTAGGAGACTGAGGAATTTCCTGGGAGCAGCCCTCAGCAAAACAAAACAGAAAAAATAAATCAAATAATACCTAGTAACTAAGAAATCAAAAGTTATTTTCAAAGTGTATAAACAGAGACCCAGAATAGAAGTAATTTGATAGTACTGGTCCCACATTCGTCATTTGCCGCTATATCATATTGGTGCAAGCAGATTAATTTTCAGATGGCGATGGCTGCTGGAGACGTGTTCCTTGAAAATCTTTCGTGTTCACTATCCTGAAATCTGTAATTACTTTTGGAAGTCTTGGCTTTGGAGTAGAATTCTGATATGTGAATGTCAGAATAGGCTCCCTAGTATGGTCCACTGAGCATTAGCTTTCCTCTAATTAATCTTCTAATTGATTATTGCATTAATTTTTCTAGGTGAGTATGTAATCCATTTCTTTAATTAATTCTTTTACTTCAGCTTTGCTTATTGCCTCCTTTATCAAGGTCTTACATTAATATTTGCAGCATCACCTACTGACATGTGTATGCCTTTTGTTTACAGATATCACTGAAATTGCACCATTTCTTTTGAAGACTTCACCGACAGATCAGCAGCTGAACAAGCTTGCGAGGAGACTGGGACCCGAATGGGAGCATATAGTTCTGTGTTTGGGTTTGTCCCATACTGACATCTATCGATGTAAAGTCAATCACCCCCACAACCTGCAGTCACAGATTGTAGCTGCATTTGTCCTGTGGAGACAGCGCTTGGGGAAAAAAGCAACAATCCAAAGTCTGCAAGCCAGTCTGATGGCAGAAGAGGTGGATCCTTCTGTGATACAGTATATGCTTGAGTGAAGCCTTGCTATTGATCGGGAGCTTTCAAGTACTTCGTTAAATTAAATCAAGAGGGTTCGTGGAAATGCATGTTGAAGATCTGATGCTTTAAACTGGAAAAAAGGGATTGGGAACTATGGTTTTATTAAGCTTAAACATTCCAGTTTCCTGTGGCATCTTGTGGCTTGTAATTCTTTTCATGCCAGATTAATTTTTAGCAAGCATTAAAAAATTGATCACGCTTTCCTGTTCACTTTTATACTTTTCCAGTGGGGATATAGGGTGACACTTAAACTGCTTGTAAGCAGGCGCCCCTGCAGTGAGCTCAGCAAGGTTTCTGGTTTCATTGAAGGGGCAACACTTGGTTTAACTTATTTGCTGGAGGAGTCCTTTTTGCTGCTGTTTTGTGCTAGTTCCCTGATACCCCAGCAAGAAATGAGAATAATCACTGTTGCTAATTTAACAATTTTACAACAGTTATTGCAAGTGGCTAATTTCACATTTATAAAAGCTTTAGCACATGGAGTTTCTTTCTAGGGTAAATGGCTGCCACCTTAGTCTGCCTTTGAAATTGGTGTGTCCAAGAGGGTTTCTCTAATTATTATTTAATGGGTGTATCTGCAAGGAGATTGGCACCGTGTGTGTATGCCATCTCTTAGCATAGCACAGGGGAGGAGTTCTCAGGGAAGGCACACAGCAGAAAAGTGACCAGAAGATAGGCAGAAACAGGCAAACAGAGTGAAAAGTGGCCTGAAAAATGAGACAACCTTTCAGTTGTCCATGTTTGTCCATGGGAGACAGCCTGGGGCCTGCTGAGTCTTGCACTATGCTCTGGATCCGGGCAGTCTTGTTTCACAAAAGTTTTACTTTTAGGTCAAGTATTCACAGTCATCTTCCTCTGGCCACCACATGCCCAACAGGGTAGGGAAGCTTGCAGATCCTTTCTGCTCAAGATGTGCTCCTCACTGCTGTCCCTCCAGCTTGTGCCTTCCACCAGGCTCATTTGATTTCTACCAGCTTTTCTGAATCTAATAGGAGACATAACTGTGTCTCCTGTCCCCAGTTCTTTGCCAGATGTAATTGTACGACCTGTGAGAATTAGATTTTATCCAGAAGAACAGTAAAGCCTGGGCTTTTCTCTTCCACTTCTTTCAGAGATTTTCTTCCTACTGGAAGACACCACTGAGGTTTTGCTGACCAGGTAAAGGGGGATAAGGCCACAGGGTATGTATCTGGAGGCAATGGGAGTGACCAGCTGCTCTCTGAGGCCTGATGATAAGAGGCAGAATATGTCTTAATTCTCCCTGAGCAGTTTGCAGCACAGTAAATGAGGAACAAAGTTTGGATACAGGATTTCCAGTTGTATTTATGAGCAAGTTATGGTAGACTACGGAGTCTTACCAAGTAACATCCTGCAGGATGTTGCAATATCTGCCTCATGATTTGAGAGCTGCTTCATCAAAAGTCTTAATTGGGGTAAGAATTACTGCCTTTCTTTTTTTCTTCTTCTTTTTTTTCTTTTTTTTTTTTTTTTTTTTTTAATTCTTCCTATATCCAAATTTTGGAAGACATCTGGGCAATTAGGAAAGACAAACAGGTTTTAAGGAAATCGTTTCTGCCTTGGGTCTTTTCAGAAGCACAGAAATAAGAAAACACCCTAGCAAGGTCAGCACCTGCAGGTCCTGAAGCAATCTGGTGGTATTTTGGTTTGAATCTCCTGTATACAGTTATGGCCTTGAGTAAATCATGATCCTGTTATACCTTACTCAGATCTTAACTAATCATATCTTATTATGGCTCCTTATAGAGTTTAAGCCTATCAGCAAACGCCAAGTAAAAAATGCAAATCACTTTAGGCCTTGGAATTTATTTATTTTTCAGTTTCATGATGCTTTAATGCCATCATTAAACATGTTCCGCGTTTTAGGGAACTGGGGCAAAGCAGTGTCCCTGGCAGCACTTTGGAGGAGCAAAAGCTGGAGATGGGGAACAGGAGAAACTACTGAAAACATGATTCAGAGGAAGAAGCTGGCTCCCAGTGACATAAATGCAAGTATCTTATCTTGTTCTGAGCCAGCATGGACCAAGTCTAAAGCCAGACTGGTCTCCAAAGGGAGTCATCCCCATTCAACCCAGCATGAGCACAGAGCTCCAGGAAGGCAGCCAGTGTGGGTGGTAAAACAGTGTGATGGGCACATTCACGGGTCCCTGGTACCTTCTTCTTTGGGTGAACATTGCATTTCATGTTGTTCATTTGTAAGACCAATGTCAGCTTATCCATAGATAATGGATTTAGAGTCTTTTTTAGTGGTTAAGAAAACAGCTTGCAGTAGGTATGAAGTGTCATGTCAAAGAAGCCTTCCCTACAGGTCAGGTATCCTTCTGTGTATCTCCTATGGGCCACTGGAAACCTGATGGGTGAGTGTCGTATCAGGTAGTTTCTCCACTGAAATTTGTCTTTCAGTGGGCAAAATTCTGCCTCCCAGCAGTGGTACTGAAATTAAAGGAGTTGCGACTCGACAAGGAATTTAAAACCTGGGCCTCTCATATTGTAGAACAAAGCACTTAATTCATAATTTATGGTTACTTTCACATTCCCAGGCCTGAAAATAATGTTGTAATACTTGAGTTGCAAATATTGAAGGGAGAGGTTTACTTATTTTATGAGATTGTTTCCATTGCTGTTATTTTTAAATTCATAGAAATGTTCCTATTAGACTCTTCAGTTTTATTAAAGCTTGTTTTTTGCACCACACAAATGCAGGCACACATTTAACTTGACAGTAGTATTCCTTTAACCCAGTGGATTTTTCCATCCACTTAGAAATATTTTTCTTCTGTATGTAATGCTTTATTTTGCACAAGGATGCAATTAAGACAATTTAATTCTTCAGATGTATAGCAAGGCCTCTTATTCTCTCTTAGGACAGCCAAAAGGTCTTAAAATGTTTATTCTTCTCTGGCTAATTTGGGAGCAAATGTTACTTATTTAAATCTCACTCATAGACAAGCCTGCAACTTGATTATTGTTCAGGAGTGAGGCAACTCAGTGAACGAGTTTCCCCATCTCTCCCTTGGCCTCAACTCCCTTGCGCCACCGGGTTTGGGTGATGACAGGGGGCTTGCACAGGGGCTTCTGTCCTCCCTGCCCACCATGCCCCCAGGACTGGTGCACAGGTCAGGCTGACAGCCAAGAGCAGCCCCCAGCAAGGACTCATCTCTCTTCCACTGCTCATCGCTTCCAGTGAGGCATGTGGCCATTCCAGGCTTCAGGCTAGCATGTGGTCTCAGGGGCAAAGGTTAGCCAGCAGCAACTGCTCTTTGATGTGTTTAGGTTTCTTAACTGATGTTGAAAATGCCTTTCTAGTGAAAATGGTATAATTGCCATCTACTTAGTTGTGGCAGTGTTTAGGAGCCCCTAGAGAAGAAAGCTTAAAAGTGGCCTCTGCTGGACCTTCTATGAGATGGATGGCTTAACTTCTAGTCTTTGGGAAAAGTAGCCACTGATTTTTCTTCCTTGGTCTGTAAAGAGATCCCATTAACTCTCTTAAGTGGTAAGTATGCTTTACAAAAGCTCTTTTGAACTCTGCAAGTAGAGGTGGACTCAGCATAGCAACAGGCAAGGCCTAAGAGCACTCTTTCTCCCCACCTATATAAAGTGGCATGGATGTTCACAAAGGAGGGATGTCCTCAGGGCAGAATCAGGTCAAGGAGGCTTTACAAGGCACTGAAGAGTGGCTGGAGTGTACAGTAAAATGAAAATGCAGTCATCTTTGAGCTGCTTCACCCAGATGATGCGGGGGAAATTTCCATCTTGAGTCATCTATTATGACAGTCGTTGATCTATGGAATAAAACATTCTGCAAAAGGCTGGGAAAATAAACAAAGTCATATTATATTCGAAGAACATCAAAGGCACACTCATCTGATGCTAATGTGGTATGCTGCCAGTTTTGTTTCTTACTGGAAATAAAAACAGTCTCTGAGAAGTAATCTCTTTCTAAGCTTCCATATTCATAGCCACAGACTAATGTCAAGGCGTAGTAGCAGAACTGAAACTGCAGTTCAAGAAAGCTTTGTGTATTTGCAATGAATATTCAAAAGCTTTGTCCAGATTTCACTAAGTGAAAAGAATTTTGACTTTTAAGGTGTCTTTCTATCACCTGATAAATAGATCTAAAAGTAAGTCCAGTGATTTGGCTTTTTTTTTGGCCTGAATACACTGTCCTTTTTAACGAATTTCCTGAGAAAAAGGAACATTCGCTGGAAATGGAAATAATCTTTCAAAATATCTTTCCAGATTAAAAAAAAAAGAAGTATGTGCTTTAGCAGAATTCACTTCTGAACCTAGCATTTTGGTTGTGGAAGGAGACAAATTACAATTTCCCTTTGAAGCTGTTGGGGAGAGCTGGATGATCAGCAGAGCTGATAATGGTGCAGGAAGACTCCCAGCACTCCTGCAGCAGGGACTGCTTTAAAATGCCTGCACATGTTGCAGATACCATTTCTGACACTGATGTCTGGTCCAAGCCCCAACAGCAAAGAGACAAAAAGTCTCTTGTTAACTTCAATGCGCTTTGGATTAGGCCTTCTTTAATTGGAACCTGCTGAAGTGTGGTACTTTTACTACCTCCCTTTGAAAAGCAGGCTTTATGGATTTGGGACAATAAAAAGGGAAGGGGTTTTTGTGGGTGTAGTAAGCATTCTAGGTTATGGGGTCCTCTTTTCATTGCCTCAAGTGCTACTTTGCACTATTTGCTTCAAAGTAAGCATCATGAGAAGGGAAAAAAAAAAGAGGAGTGGAGCTATTCAGCAAAGGATATATCGGTAAGTCTCCAAAACCAAGATCATTTTGAGTTCTGGAATGTGAACAGTCCCATTAAGAGGCGGTATTTGATGGCTCAGGAGATTGCTTATACATTCATGGAGTTTTCCACCTCGAGATCAAGAATCCAAAGCCACTATTGATCCAAAAGAAAAGCAACCTAATGGCAGCCTGTTCATGTTCTTTAATCTGTCTTCACAGTTTTCACATCTGACCTACACAGCACCAGCCCTTGCTATCAGTCTTAGAAAAGGGCAGAGGGGATCGAACGAGCCAAGTAGTTGAACTGCTCTGTGCCCAGGGAGGATAAAGTGAGTAACATGCTTGGCCACAACTGGCATTAATGTTCACATGGCATGTGCAGAGAAGCCACCAGCTTCCTGGGTTGCGACCCAGACCTCTCCCCACCAGCAAGCTCA